AATTGTGAATGAATATGATTAACCCACTAAATATAGACTTAATAAAATTAATCCCTTCAACCCTTGTTTTCAGCAAAACTGATTGCTATAATTTCTCATGTTGGTGAATACCCAATCTGCCCCTCAAATTTTCAAATTTATTTCCAACAAGCGCCTTGGTAGAAGAATCAGTCAGCTAAAGCTTAGAGAAACTATGTTCCAGTTCAAATGACTTCTTCTCTTCAAAGTCAATAGGGTTCAAGGAAATGTTGAATGTTTTCAGATTATCACACCACAATGTCACAACATCTTGTGTAACATTGTACTCAGGGAGCATCTGTTTTGAACAAAATTTATGAGACTTGTTCTTTCCGACATCCTTGTCAAGATGACTTAAGGTTCTGACAACACATTCTTCTTCAAGTTTATTTGCCACATCACATATATTATCAGCCTGTAGTTTTGGAGTTCTTCTGACAGCTTCCATAGGAATAGCTCTTTTCATTCTTCCAAGCTTATGCTGCCACTGTTTCATCTCTTTTTCTTCTTTGATGATTTGACTCATAGTGGAGATATCAGTGTTCTCAGGCTGCCACACATAACCGTTATCTTTGGATTTGATTCCTCTCATTACAACATCTAGTTTTTCATTAAATACTAGACATTCAGATCTTGAGAAGTTGACCATGAATCCTAGATCACATAGTTGACTGATGCTAATGAGATTAGTAGTCAACCCTTTTACCAGCAGTACCTTATTCAGACTTGGAACTCTAGGGCAGTCCAAATTACCAACTCCTTTGACTTCTCCTTTAGCACCATCTCCAAAGGTCACAAAACTGGTGGTGTGAGGCATAACATTATTGAGGAGATTTTTGAATCCAGTCATGTGTCTGGAACATCCACTGTCAAAGTACCAATCTTCCTTTGCAGTGACCCTCGGGGAAGTGTGAGCTATCAGTGCAGTAGCCTTTTTCTTCCATTGTGGAGCATGCGGTACCTTTTTAGACTTAGATTTGACATCTGAGTTCTGATTAGGATATCCATGTAATCTAAAGCAGAAGGGCTTTATGTGACCATATTTCCCACAATGATGACATCTCCATCTTTGGTACCTCTTCTTCATATGTCTATGTCCCTGATGTTGAGAGTAATGTTGAGACATCCGTTTTGACATTTGCTTCCCAGTACCAAATTTCTTTGTTTCCACAAATCCTAGGCCAGATTTATTTCCCATATTTTGTCCAGCCTGAAGGATCTCTTCCAATTTGTCTGTTCCATTGGTCAACATCTTGACAGATTTGGTCATTTGATTCAGTTGTGAGTTCAGCAGTTGAACTTCTCCTTCTAAATGACTTATAGTTTCAAGATTTGCCCTCTTTTCAGCCTCCAGCTTTATAATGAGTTTTGATTGTTTCTCATTTTGCACACAGACTTCACCACTTCTGATACACAATTTCTTGTAGGTATCAACCAGTTCTTCAAATGTCACTTCTTCATCACTGGTGTCACTTTCAGAAGTACAAACACCAGTTAAAGCAGTAACTCGTTTGGCAGTCTCTTCTTCAGAATTACTTTCCGAATCACAGTCAGACCAAGTAACAGTCATTCCTTTTTGTTTCTTAAGAAAGGTAGGACATTCAGTTCGAATATGCCCATATCCTTCACAGCCATGGCATTGAATTCCTCTGCCTTGAATTCCCTTCTCTTCTGACCTTGGTCTTCTGCTGGAACTGTCAATGTTAGAGGGAATGTTATGAACATTAGACCTTGACTTTGGATCTATTCTTTTGATGAGTTTGTTGAACTGTCTTCCAAGCATGGCTACAGCTTCTGAAATGTTTTCTTCAACATCAGTCTTGGACATGAGTGCTATACTCTTGTTCTTTTTGACATCATCATTGGTGATTCCCATCTCAAAAGTCTGAAGAGACCCAATAAGTTCATCCACTTTCAACTTGCTAATGTCCTGGGCTTCCTCTATGGCAGTTATCTTCATTGCAAATCTTTTAGGCAAGGATCTGAGAATCTTCCTTACCAGTTTTTCTTCTGACATTTTTTCTCCCAGTGCTCCTGAGGTGTTGGCAATCTCCAAGATGTTCATGTGAAAATCATGAATGGTTTCATCTTCCATCATTTTTAGATTCTCAAACTTAGTGGTCAACATCTGAAGCCTTGACATTTTTACTTTGGAAGTTCCCTCATGAGTAGTTTTGAGAGTGTCCCAAACTTCCTTGGCCAGTTCATATTGATGGACTAATCTGAAAATGTTTCTATCAATTCCATTGAACAAGGCATTTAGAGCTTTGGAATTTCCCAAGGCTAACTCATCTTCTTCTTTACTCCAATCTTCCTCAGGCTTCAGACTGATTGGACCATCTTCCTCAGTTATGGTGGGATGAATCCATCCTTTGTCAGCAGCTCTCCAAGCCTTTTTGTCCAGGGATTTTAGGAAGGCAATCATACGAGGTTTCCAGTAGTCATAATTGGTTCCATCCAGAATGGATGGTCTATTTCCAAAAACTCCTTCTTTGTCCATAGTGCCAGAAAGTGATATCCCTAGATCTCACCCAGTAATACAGGCAGGGTGCCTGCTCTGATGCCAATTGAAAATTCTGGCTGCAGATACTCAATGTCACGCCCAATGTTATGACACCGTATCTGACTTACTATATGACAGTAAATACAAAAGCAGTAAAGAACACAGTCAATTGTTTACCCAGTTCAGTGTGCAACAACACCTACTCTGGGGGCTACCAAGCCAGGGAGAGAATCCACTATAAGAGATGTTAATTCAGGAATAAACCAACCAGTTTATCTCCTTCACTTAAGATCTACCCAATGCAATTCTAATCTAAGTACTACTTAAACCTGAGTTCCTACTCACTCCCCCTCAATCACAGCAGTGATACATAAACCAATTTGACTTAAGAATTGATGAAGACACTCTTCAAAACAAAACACACTTGATTAAACTTCACAGCTTTTTAATCAAGCAACACAATCACTCGTGCTTCACAGCTTTGAGTGATGTACACAACTAACTTGACTCTGCTTCATAGCTTTAGTCAAGGGACATTCAAACACTCTTGCTTCAAAGCTTTGAGTGCTACACAACCCTTACAATCGAAACCTATTCCAAGGCACTTATCACAATGATAATTGCTTGGAGTACAATAAACAAATCTATACAGATTACAAAATTGATCTTTTAATCAATCAGCAGGGATGTCTTGGAAAACAGCAGCTCTGTTGAATATATAGCAGCTGCAACTTCAGTTAGGGTTTTCAAAAACCTAGGGTTGATTCCGTTTGACCTAAAGACCTGGTCATAGGACTTTATTGACCAGGTTAGGATTGAGCTAGGTTACTCCTCAGAAAACGCAGGATTCTGTTCAGAAAGGACTGAGTTATTTCCTGAAAAAACTCAGACTTATCCAATCCTGCAATCCTGTTAGTTCAGAACAGGATGTCATAACATCTGTTATGACATCTGAGAAAACCTGTCTACTGATTTAGCAAAATGTGATCATTTTGCAAACATGCTCAGATACACACTTATAAACATCAGTATTTGAATTACAATATTTTTCTGCACATGTACCTAATGAGTTAGTACAACCTGAACTAGAATGTTATGACATCAGTCATGACATTCACACATACACTTGGGATTTACCAAAAATGCAAGCCAATACCTAAACACCTACAAAGTTAATCTAGTCCACTCGCCAAAGTGATTTCGTCTTCTCAATAAGGATTTAATCCACTATAACCAAATTGATTACAAAATCGCAACAAGACTAATTGTCACTGTTGCAAACCACAAAGACCAACTGTCTATGCCTTCTTGAGTCTATAAACTAACACTTAGTCACTCAAGGAACCAACCTCAAAGACACGTTGTCAATGACGTCTTGAGTATACCGACTAACACTTAGTCACTCAAGGAACAATCAACTCACTGTTGAATAAATGTTTTTGTGTTTATAATATTTCTTCTAAATAAGCAGATTACACAAGATTGAAATACAAATAATAAAACAAAAGTGTTAAGCAAGTAAATGAACAAAATTTCCTTGCTAGAAAGTTAATGAGCAACAACTCCTTGTTTTACAAAAATCAGAGTTATTTTGACAGTGTTTTAGCAAATTGAATAAGCGTGAGTTTCTTTAAAGTTCTTCAACATTTTCAATTCTTTCAAGTCTTCCTTTTATAGTTGAAAAGAAATTCGTTGGAAGGTAGAATAGGAATACCAAAAATCCAATTGTCTTCTTGCAACGATTAGTGAGAGAGTGGTAGACAATCTAGTACAAAAATATTCCTTGCACCACAAAACCAGCGTAGTGAAGGTGAGGTGATGTTGTACCTTGTACTATTATTCACGTGAAACCTTTTGATCTTTTCTTCTAATCTTCAAAGGCTTTTGGATGTATAATGATTGAAGCATGTGCAAAAGGATCAAAACTAAATCTCTAGAACCATGTCATGAGAGTTTTCAGAATTTGTTCGACCTAAACCTTATCTTTAGCACTTAGTCTTCAGAGTCTTCATAACATTTTCTTCTAAGTCTTCTGAATTTCATTTAATAAAATCTTATCTTTAAAATCTTCATAACCGTTGTTTTAAAAATTACTCATATCGAATCATCTTGCAAAGATTAAATTTTACCAGTAGAAAAATCCTTACACCTGTCAATAAATATCCTAATTGTTCTTCTATCAAAATTTGTCTACATTTGATAAAGCTGAAAAGGAATTTGCATGCGTAAGGGAACAAATTTTTTGACATGTTAATTTTTCCCTGCTCCTTCCACTTAGATTTTGAAAACCATCCATTCCACTTAGATCTTGAAAACCATCTAAAGTCGTGAATCTTGCACTGGTCAAGCATAAGACCCTCAAAATGCCCTCTGCACGACTCATGCCTCCCTCGCCTCCGGTCCAACAACACATTGTGCTTACAAAAGCTATAGAGGAAGACGGCGGCGGCCCCTCCCCTGCTTTTAAGTAACACACGTCATGGGTACCAAAACCATCATCTCCCTAGACATCCTCCTCTGCACTCCAATCTCAAAGACCTCCCCATTAATCAAAAGTTCCACCTTCAATTTTATTAATTCAACGTTTGATACGAAGAACAAAAATATGAAAGTTACTACATCCACTACAATAGCCTATCTAAAGAGGTTACACAGGTGCAGAAGGTTAATTCTCCCTTCCTATCTAATAGAACAGCATGGAATATCTGTCATACCATCCTTTATACACGTGAGAAGGAAAGCAAGCTTCCAAGGAATTGAACCATTGAGGCCACCATAAAATCTGGCCTATGAGGAGCTCTTATGACGTAAAAGGAATTAGGACTCAGAGGAATGCCAAATTTCTACACATATGAACAAGTAAACCCAATTAAAGCCAAACACAAGTAAAGATTTGACAGCATAAATTTTTGTACGTTTCAAAACTAAACTCAGTAGTACTACATAGACATTTTGAAAGTCCGGTAATATCATCAATTCCAATATTTTAATACACATGACCAACTTGATCCATTTCATTAAATGTTCAGAATAAAGAAACATAACAAAAACTACAAACTAACAATCTAATGGTAACTAAAATCAGATAGTGACATATGACAACACTGCGAACAACGATCCAACTAGACCATTGTGACCATTTCAAGTTTAAGAGCTGGTAAACTTGGTTACAGCCTTGGTACCCTCAGAGACGGCATGTTTGGCCAATTCACCGGGAAGAACAAGTCTAACAGCGGTCTGAATTTCCCTTGAGGTGATGGTTGGCTTCTTGTTGTACCTTGCAAGTCTTGAAGATTCAGCAGCAAGCTTCTCGAAGATGTCGTTGATGAAACTGTTCATTATACCCATGGCCTTGCTTGAGATACCAATGTCTGGGTGAACTTGCTTCAGAACCTTGAAGATGTAGATCTTGTATGTCTCCACGCTCTTCTTGTTTCTCTTCTTCTTCTTGTCTCCGGCAGCAGCACCGCCATCCTTAGGTAGCTTCTTACCGGCCTTAGGCTTCTTCTCAGCTGGAGTCTTCTCTGCTATGGTGGACTTCTTCTCCTCTACTGGTTTCTTCTCAGCTGGCTTCTTCTCTCCTTTTGGCGCCATTGAAAGGTTTGGGAAACTTGAAACTTCAAACTTCGATAAAAGTTAGGTTTTCGAATTGGGAAATGGTATACAAATGAAGGTATTTGATATTTCTCATAGATGGTGCGGTATGATTAATATATAAGTGGTTTTCGTGTTTCTATTGGGTAGTAAAGTTCGTTGCGGATCGATGACGTGGAGCTCTTATATCCGTTACATTGTATTCCCATAAGGACATGATGATAGACGGTCACGATCTTTCTTTGAGTAAACGATGACGCGGATCGATGAGCTGGTTGGAACACATTTGAGGACCCAGTGAGTGATGGATGGCTGAGATGCTTTTTACTACCTTTTTCTTTTTTCACAAAATTCCTGTACGATCTACTAGTTTCTTTTCATTGCGCGCCCAAATGGATATTTCCACTTTTTTTATGTTGCGCGGTTAGGTTCCATATTTATCCTTGTTTACGCGGTACATAGTTTTGAAACTGTAATTTTATTTTTTTATATTTTGGAAATGCTGATTTTGTTTTGAATTTTGTAAAAATCTTTATTGTTAGGAAATTTAAGATGGATATTTTAAAATTTTGATTAAAAGACATGTGGGATGTGATTCATGGAGTTCAACCATGGTGAAACTATATGATAAATAGATGATAAAAAAAAAAGTTAAGAAATGACTTAAAAAAGGAAATTGATTAAATCAATTTGTAATTTAATTAGAGTTTATTCTAATTAAACTTATGATTAGGATGAAATTAATCCATTAAAGCAACAAGAGAAAAATAAATCAATGAAGTCGTTATCGAACGTTATTTATTTCAAGAAAGGAAAATGAAAACATCGAGTAAATATAAGAGAAAGTAAGATTTTGTGATCATGAGAAGGGTACAGGAGTTGATTATGTAAGAAGAAGATATTAACACTCTCACGTATGTGGTACCCTAGAGGTGCACATGTGCAATTCTGTTATATTTAATTATTTTTGTCTTTGCATTAGGTTTGCTAGCGTTTTGTTTTATTCTTGCCATACAATCCTATTAGTCATGCATCTAAATAGTTAATAGTTTACAGTAATTAAAAGTGCAGAAATATAAATCTAACTATTACAAGGCTCCGGGGAGTGGGATTATTACAAGTCCAAAAATGAGGGAAATAAAAGCAGTAAATGTAAAGGCCTAGTTTAATTATATTACATCCCATAAGCAAGTACATTAATATGAAAATAAAGTAGAAATATCAAACGCGCGCGAAATAGAAAAGACGTCTAAATCCTAAAAAGGAAAATCTTTTTTTTTTTTTTATGTTTTATGTAAGAAAATGTTTAATTGATAATTAATTAAACAATCTAGATCTAAAGAAAAAAATGTTAATTATTAAAGAAAATTGAAATTTAAAAAGAAATTAATTCTAAGCTTTTTGTATTTTTGTTATGAATACAAGAAATTAAATGAATTAAATCCTAGGTCTATTTATTTTTAAATTAAATAAAAGGTTAAAATTATTATTTAATTAATTTATCAAGTTAATTTAATTAAAAAAAGACTAACCTAATATTTTTATGATTTTTTTTTATTTTAATGTTGTAATGAAATAAAATTGATTAAAACAGAAATGTTAATTAAAACAAAATAAAGAAAATTGAAATGGGCCTGCAAACAAAATGAAATGGGAGCGCTTCAAAGAAGTATCAGGCCTAATAGTAAGAGGGTCCAGGCGCTGCAAAAATAGTTAGGGGTGAGAATAAACAGAAACTCTAGGCCCAATGACAAGAGGACCCAGGCGCCTGTGGGATCTACAAAACAAAGGTTAGAAAAATAAATTTTTTGTTTCCTGCTTAGATCGAACCCAGGACCTGGCAGAGGAGTGCCCTAAGAATGATGTTCTTGGATTCAGGTACCTAAGCTCACATGTAACACGTTAGATCTACTCAAAACATCAATAGTAATGTGAATGCATGCATAAAACTGGTTTAAATTACATAATTTAGAGGATTTGAAATTCAAAATTTTACCAAAAACCGTAGGATGGTTATGAGGAGGATCTGGGACGTGTAAGGCTTGAACCTGGGCTCTGGAGGACTCATGGGAAACTCAAGAGAGGGTTGATGATTTTGGTTTGGGTTGATAGCGCTTGGAAGTGAAGTTACAGATTTTGCAACTTTTTTATTTTTTTTAGAATTTTGAGAAGACTTTTAGAGAGCTTTTTGAAGAGGAATTTCATACTCCTTTTGGCTTGCATTGTTGTGTATTTATATATGGAAGATAGGAATGAACAAACTTGGTAAAGAATCAATGTATTCATGGCCTTGGTGTTTACAGTGATTTCTGGTAAACAACCGCTAGTCCTCCAAACTATCGAATAAACTTACTGATTGTTATTCAATTTCTCTGGTAACTCGCAGGATCGACTAGATTGATCCTAGGACGTGTTGGTCATTAGGGTAACTCTCATGATCGAACTGGTATTCATGGTTAGTATTTAGAATGTTGTGTAGGTGTTTAACTTATTTCGATTTCTCGCTTAAAGATCTAAAAGTGCGATCAAATAAATGTGCGCGAAACTAAATTGCATGGATAAAGGTCAATTGTAAAGACATGTAAAAACTGCATAAAAGACAAATAAATGACTTCGAATCGTGAAAAAGAACAATTAATGTAAAAGATTCGAAATGTGAAGAAAGCGTTTAATGCAAGAAAACTGTAAAATGGCTTTAAGTGAAAAAGCTGTTCGAATGATAAAAACTTGAAGATAAAGGCATGAAATGTATAACAGTTTTTGAAATGTAAAGTATTTGAAATGGAAGGAAAGCATTTAAATGTAAGGCATCAGTGAAAAGATTTCGAATAAAAAGACTTTAGATGCAAAAACTTGTAAATGGTATTGATATAAAGATAAAGGAAAGTACTGGAAATGATAAAGGGTTTTCATTAAATCATAAACATGTGGTGTTATCATACGTACATTGCTCTTGCATTCGTTTCCCTAGCCATGTGGTAATTTGAATGTTTACTGAGTATTTTGTACAATAGATATGACACACGAAATCCTAATGCTAAGACTTCTATTTATACTACTTCGACCATAACAGTCTTGCTATAAGATTCTGCCACGTTCAGAACATGCAGAGCAATGCCTCTCTCTTGCTTCCACGTGTCTTCGAATGCTCCAGCGCATATATTTCAAATTTCGAACATCCCGCTTGCATTTGAATTTCAAATGTTTTGGCACTTCTTCGCTTCGAACGCACTTCTTAGATACAGCCTTGTTATCATTTCGAGATTTCTTTGGATATATTCTCATAACTGTCACTCGAAGCTCCAAGCTTTGATATGCTCATTCGAAGCATTGCTTCTACTATTTCGAAACATGACGTTTTGTTTCATTTCAATCGAAACGTCCAATTTACTTTGCTTCTAATAATATTATCAAAATCTCCAGCCAACAAAATGCCCCTTTAAAATATGTATTTCGATCCCTTTGAGAAATACTTATTTTAAACATATACACAAGATTTTGATGCGACCTTCGAATCATCGTAACATTTATTGCATTTGACTCCAGTCACGTCAATCATAACGCTTTTTAGATTCCTTAACCGCCTTGAACCATTTCACAGTATGGTGCAGTTACAAAACAATGATTATCTTTAATCACGCCTATTACCAATGTTAACTTTACGCCACCTCTTCATCAAACCAACCCATGATTACCACGTATCACAACCTTACTCAGTGGATGCTTAAACTTCCACATTATAAAAACCCATCAACTTAGTCTTTTCTTTTTCTTCCCACATTCTGAATCTTTTCTCCTTCTTTTCTCACCGAAACCCTAAGCTTTCAACATTATTCCAACAATGTCTTCTTCTACTTCATCCCAACTAAAAAAGGTTTCCAAAAAGAAAGGAAAGACCGCAGGAACTACAATGGAAAGCAAGGTTGTCACTTACCAAGGTTAATCTGTTCTTGTTCCCCAGATGATCTCAAAAGAGAAAGAAATGCTTTATGCATCCCAGGTACTTATTCCTACCACCGCTGCTGGCAAGAGGTTAGCTTTAATGGGCCCTCTTACAGTTTTTGAAATTTTAAAAGACACCAGAAAATTTTTCCCAGTTTGCTATAATTTCAAACCCCTGTTTAATAAAATGGACGCCCCTAAGGCAATAGAATCTTCTGGTTCAAATACCGTGGAAAATCCAAT